TTTGGATTTCCCCTTACTTTCATTTAGGTAACAATGATCACAAGTACAAATAGGGGGATAATGCTCCCCAACGGAAAGACAGACTGAAATAAACACTTGACAGAAACAAACTTGACACCACTTGATCCAGAACGGAAAAAAAAATGTTTTCCCTATAGGCACACTTAAGGTGCTGCAGCACATATTTGTGATGGGAGGCCACAGTTCTACTTTAATGTTGAATTCTACATACATAATGTCTAAGGGAAGTAATTCATTGTGGTACAAACACATTTCAGTTTTTTCTTGGATGTGGGGTAAGACAAATTCATGCAACAGGAATACGCAAAGTATGTTTTCTAAAATGTCTCCTAAAAATGTGTGATTCTCTGGTTATATTTGATGCAATCAAGGAAGTCCATTATCTTTTTATGGTAACTGAAATCCCTAATAAAAAACTTACAGTATCTTATGACTTACATATTTCAGTAATTATTTAGTAGAGAATGAGTGTGAAATATGAATAAGATGACTTTTTACAGGGAATTAAAGAGGAATTATAGGAACATTTGAAAATTGCATATATGATGTAGTCTTCCACTAATCCCCTGTGTGATGTTAGTTTTATTACTTGTTGAGCCTGCCATTAGATCCATTATTTTTTTCACTTTCTTTAACATGGTGTTAATTCTGTTCGTTCTGCTGTGAAATTGTGCAGCAGTGGTGTCACCCTGTGGACAGGGTATTCTGAAATGGACATTTTGAATGGACTGGATTGATTAAAAAAAAGCTAATACTTATTACGGAGTAACAGCAACCATTTATTTTTATTTTTGAAAAAAAAAGCTTAAACTATTTTTTAAAAAGCTGATAGTTGTAAGTACTCCCCACAGGTTTGTCCCAACCCCTGTTACTGGCACTTTTGCTGGGCAGCTTGGTTTGCATGTAAATGTGTAGAAAAAAGATAAATAAATGCATGTGAAATTAAAAAAGGAATTAATAAATACTATCATTACAGGTATTAACCCCATATAGTTACAATAATACAATCTTTTTTTTTATCATAGTGGTCCATTTAAAAACAATGGAGAAAAGTCTATGTTAATTGGCAGTGAAAGACCTGAGATTATGAAGTGCAAAGTAGCTCCACATATGTGGGTCTTTGATACTGAGAAGTATGAGCAGGTGTTTAATCATGGAGATGCTTTTAGATGCATGTAGCTGGCATTTTAATGGTGTGCCAATGCCTATCAGTTTGAAAGTTATGCTGGAAAGGAAACCTAAAGGTCTTGTTTACACCTGCATTGAACTTTTACTGCCCTCTGTAAAGTGATCTGTAGTGGATCACTAGTTTCAGAGCATGGTTGAGCAGTGGATGGCAGGCATTTAGGAGGCAATACTGCCACCTTCTGGATTTGCTATGGCTGCAGCATGTGTACAGACCCAAATGTCCGTCATGTTAGGTTCTAGGTGAGCAATAGGGGGGCAGTAAAAACGCAGATCAACCGCCTGTTTTATGATCTCTTTGCCGACCGTGTAACCAAGGCCTAATTTTTATTTATTATGCGCTTTTTGTAATGCAGTTGTAAATGGTATGGGAGCTTTTCACTTTGTAAAAGGACTTAGGGGCTAAGTAAGAAAAATGTTGGGATGGAATTTGGGACTTTTGTTAAAACATTACAGTTTTTAGCAGAACAGAGAATTAGATCCATTGTTTCAGGGTAGCACAATTTTCAATGTCTCAAATCAAAAATGTTCTGTTTTCCCATCTCCCCCGAACGTCTCCCACACTTTCTGTGCCAGTCAGCTGCGCTCCATCCCCACCTCCTTTTTTATGTTGCACTTTATACAGTTAGACACCCGGTCTAATATCTCAAAGAGCCGCACACCGCCCACGCCACAACACACCACCCTAGGAGTGCGCTCACAAATCAGTCTTCATCTTCAACTGTTTAGTGAAATCAGCAACTGTTATACACATACTAAGTTTTTTCAACAGTTTCTTAACAAAGCCTTACAATGGGGGTTATTTGTATGCCATGTTGACCATATTGATCCATAATGAGAACTAGGGACTTCCTATCAGACCTGGATGAAGATGAACAGAAGAAGACTAGTGCCATACCTTGGAGAGCAGAGCTCTGTGATACAGCAGGTAATTCTCTTACTATTTTTAAGGCCTGGAGTGGACTTCTCATTATTTTCTGTTTCTGATTATGTCGGTAACTTTGTATCATCTCTGAGGGACTGGACATATGCACTACCTCTGAGGAACAAAATAAGATGCTATTTATCTGTGACAGAATGCTTAAGCTGTGTATCCACAAAGCATGTATGCTTATACTTACAGGTATTCTGTTCTCAAATATAAAAATTAAGCTTTGAAATCCCTCAAATGGACACAATCTACCCACCCAAGGCTTCTACCTGTCATGCAGGCAGAGCTACCGGGGCTCCCAACACTTCAGTGTTTAACAGTGCCTTGTTGTCTTATTTGTGGTATTTTGGGCACACTAATTGTAAAACCATATTGATATGGCTTGGCTGTTCTTAACTCTGCTTAATGTAGGCTTCTTGCTACACAGAGTAATGTGACAAGCAGATAGAGTTACATTCCACAACCCATATACGAGTTGCAGAGAATTAGATTAAACTCAGGTTAAAGCAAATCACAGTAAATAAAGTGGATTTGCTGACTTTAGCTGTATGTTTTGCCTGGATAGCATTAGCAGTTTAATGCAATACAAATTCTCTGAATTTGAAATGCCCTGTCCATGTGCACCCAACTTTAAAAGGCTAGTTATGAATTGGTTGGAGAAGTCCCCTTTTTTAGCACAAGTGGTTCACGCACTGATTGTTTTAGGTTTACATTAATTATTCTTTTGTATGTTTAAGCTAAAACCACTTCTCATATTTTACACAGAATCTAAGACTGGTGATATATAACTGGTCCTATATAACTGGATACTATCTTACAAATATGAAACTGTAACCATCATTAGGGTGTAGAAGCCCTCAAAAATATTTAGTAATATGGTCACAATTTTTTTTTAAATATCACTTTAAAGCAAAAAAAAGTCTACAGTTGGAGTATTATTATCTGTCCAACAGAGTTTATAGAGCCAAGTCAACCTTGTTAAATTATTTCAGTATAATATCACAAAAAGATACAAAATATAAAAATCTTTTGTGAATGCCTGGTGCACTGCTGGAGAGCAGAAATAATTGTGTGTGCCAAATGCTTTAAAATTTTCTTTATGGCCTCATATAGTTATCTATTCAAGTATTGAAGCACTACAAGTACAATGTGGTCATGTAAAACAGAAAGAAAAGGCAGCTCAATGAGCTGAGATGTTTCATCACTCTTTTTTTTTAGACATCAAATACATGAAAGTCATTCATGATCTTGGTGACTTTGATGCAGTTGATTTGTATCATTCACAGGGTTATTCACTAAAGGCTGAAGAGTTTGGAGAAGGCAGGAGAAGTGAACAATCTCGGACAACTGGAAAGTGAGATAAATTGGAGAATTTTTCAAAATTAGCTATTTTGTCCTAGATTGTTCACTTCTCCTATTTTCTCCAAACTCTTCACCCTTTAGTGCTGGGGTGCACATTAGGTTGATCGCGATCTACCAGTCGATAACAAAGCAAACACTGGTAGATAGCAATCGGCTCACTTACCTGAGCTCCCTCCCGCGGTGGTAATGTGGCTGAATGTGTCAGATGCTGCAGGCAGGAAGGGGGTGGGACACCACTCCATGTCTGCAGCGTCGTATACATTCGGCTACAATATCACCAGTGCGGGGCGGGGTGCCACTCCCAGTCTGTAGCGCCCAACACATTCGCCCACACTAGCACTGCAGGAGGACAGGACAGTGCCCATGAGATAATAGCCAGGAAGCTGCTGCAGTGCAGGTAAGAAAAGACAGACAGGAGTAAGAGAGAGAGAGAGAGAGACAGCCGAGGAAGGAGAGAGAAGAGACAGCCAAGAGAGAGAGAGGGAGAGACAGTAGAGGAGGGAGAGTGAAGAGACAGTTGAGAGAGAGAGCGAGGGAGAGAGACGTGAGAGAGAGAAGAGACAGCAGAGGAGCAAGAAAGCAGAGACAGCCGAGAGAGGGAGAGAGAGAGAGACGAGAGAAGAGACAGTAGAGGAGGGAGAGTGAATAGACAGTTGAGATAGAGAGCGAGGGAGAGAGATGAGAGAGAGAGAAGAGACAGCAGAGGAGCAAGAAAGCAGAGACAGCTGAGAGAGTGAGAGGGGGAGAGAGAGACAGGGGAGAGAGCAAGGAGAGAGAAAGCGCGAAGAGGGAGAGCGAGAGAGAGAGAGAGAGAAGAGAAAACCGAGAGAGACAGCAGTGTGAGAGAGGGGAGAGAGCTAGGAGAGAGAGTGAGCGCGAGGAGAGTGAGAGAGAGAGAGAGAGGCAGTAGCCCCAGTAACAATTTTAATGTGCCTGTTTTTTAAATAAAGGTGTATTTTTCATTGGTAGAGCTCATTGAGCTTGGCATTTAAGTGGATCTCAAGACAAAAAATTGTGGGCACCCCTGCTTTAGTGAATAACTATGACAGTCTCCATGATCTCAAGCAAACTGAGAGTTGTTGCAACTAGTGTAAAAAGATTGTTCTCTGGTCAGTGAGTCAGGATGAAAGTCACATAAAGGCTATGGAACATGTAGATACATTTAAAGGCCATATCTATACAAAAGTGCTATTTCGTTTCTGAGGAGCCAGCCATGGGGTTTATAGCTCTTTAATGCTCTGATAGTTAGATGTCCCTTTCGTAATATGTGCATCTGCCCCCTTCCACAACTCCATAACAAAGATGCCCCTCTCTTTGAGCTGGATTCTCCAATATTTTGTTATTCTGCATTCTGAAGAATCTATTTTGAAATGTGACATTGTTATTTGAACATTTAGTGGCAGTGGTGGTATATTCAAAATTGCATTTCTAATGCTGGCATTTATTTGCAATAACCCTAAATTAATATTAAAGTAATGGTTAGTGCAACATAAATACCTACCAGGCCGTTTTCATTGTTGGTAATGACAAGGTTTTCTCCATTTCCTTCAAATGCTTTAATTTCAATGCCTAAGTTGGTTTCAGGTTGCTTCAGCCAGTTTTGTAGAACAGTTTTCACATCAAAGCTTTGCCAAGTTCCAGGTCCTGGATTCATGTCAAGTTTTAATGTTCGAATTCCAATGTGTCTTGTACCATCTTTCAAAGGTTTAATGAGTCTCAGGATTTGCACCACAACTGTTGCAGGCATTTGGACAGGCTTTAGATGTATCCATAATTGTGCCTTGGATATTTTAGTTGACTGAATTTTAGAGTTCAGTTTGAAATAACAGCATTTTTTAGATTTTAATGATTCATAGTCCAAATCATCTAAAAATTAAAGAAACAACTTTTTTTAGGATTCAGGATTTTCAGGGATGCTAAACTAGGACAAGATATTTGACATCTGGATGGCTGCATGTCATAATCACATAGCTTTTTGCCTTAAAAGGTACATAAGGTTGAAGAAACAAATTGTACTATTCTTAAGGATAAAACGTAACTGTACATTGTGATACATCCTTTACCCAAACCAAACTGTAGCAAAAATGCATATTTGTTATATCTTAGATAATGACTTCAGCATGCAAAATAGAGACCTGCCTGGGTGGAATTGGTTTATTTATGCTTTACTTGTACTAGCCTGCTAAAGAGAATACAAATGGATACCAGTTGTTCACCTTATCATTCTAGATTTTTGCTGATTTCATTTTCTTTTATCAAACATAATAAATAGCTTTTGCTGCAACATAAAGATGCTAGCTAGGACCATAATGTTACATAGTATTTGAGGTTGAATAAAGACATAAAGTCCATCAAGTCCAACCTATTGCGTGTATGCATTTATGAGCAGGTGTGTGCGTGTATATGAGTCCATATGTGATTTTTCTCTTAGCAGTAACTGTACCCCTGTATATTATGGTCTCCAAGGAACTCGTCCAGGAGTCTCTTGAATGATTCAACACTCTTAGCTGAAATCACTTCCTGCGGCAGCGAGTTCCAGACCTTAACCGCTCTAACTATGAAGAACCCCTTGTATGTTGAAAAAAAATTTACTCCAATTTTTGGTTGTGCCCTCTGGTCTTTGTTACGGAGCTGACCGTAAACAGTTTATTACTAAGGTTGCTGTCACCCTTGAATAGTTTACACATGAAAATCATGTCCCCTCTTAATCTCCTCAAGCTCAAGGACATCCTTTCTGAGTATCGGTGACCAAAACTGGACCGCATACTCCAGATGTGGCTGAACCAGTGATCTGTAAAGTGGCAAAATTATAGACTTGTCCCTGCAATACATTCCCTTCTTAATGCAACTCTGCTTGCTTTGTTTACAGCAGCCTGGCACTGCACGCTGTTCTTCAATCTGCGGTCTATAATAACCCCCAAATCCTTCTCCGTTACCGACTTTCCTAGTGGCACACCCATAAGAGTATAGCCCATTTGCCTATTTTTAACTCCAAGGTGCATTACCGTACATTTATCGACATTGAACTTCATCTGCCATACAGTTGCCCATTCCCCGATTTTCTCCAGGTCCTCCTGTAATGTTATAATGTCTAAATCTGTGTCTATTACCCTCCCAATTTTTGTATCATCAGCAAACACTGAGACATTACTTCTCACTCCCTCCCCTATATCATTAATAAATAGGTTAAAAAGCACGGGACCCAGCACAGAACCCTGGGGTACGCCACTCATGACCTCCGCCCAGTCTGAGAAGGTGCCATTAACTGATACTCTTTGTGCACGTTTTTGTAGCCAGTTTTCTATCCACGTGCACACTATTTCATCTATGCCCATAGCCCTTAGCTTGTATAACAAGCGTTTATGTGGCACTGTATCAAATGCTTTGGCAAAGTCCAGATATACTACGTCCATCGGCCTCCCCCATCCAGATCTCTACTTACCTCTTCGTAAAAGGTCAGCAGGTTGGTCTGGCAAGAACGATCCTTCCTAAATGCGTGATGCACATCACTTATTATACTATGATCCCGGACGAATTCCACTAAATAGTCCTTAATAATTCCCTCTAACAGTTTACATACTATGCATGTTAAACTAACTGGTCTATAGTTCCCCGGTTGGCATTTTGACCCTTTTTTGAATATAGGTACCACATTAGCCCTTCGCCAGTCGCTTGGCACTCTACCAGCCATTACGGATTCCTTAAAAATGAGGAACATGGTCTCGTTATATCTCCTTGTTCAGTTCCTTGAGTACCTTGGGATGTAGATTATCAGGTCCTAATGCTTTATTTGCATTTAGCAGTTTAAGCCTATGTTGTATCCCAGTTTCAGTCAACCATTCAGGTGTATTTCCTGTTAAATTTTGTGTTTTATCATGTACATTGGGCCCGTCTGTTTCCTTGGTGAATACCGACGAGAAGAAAGTATTTAGTGCCTCGGCCCTCTCCCTGTCGTTTTTGAGTAACGTCCCATGTATGTCCTTTATTGGGCCTATCTGGTCCTTTCTCACCTTTTTACTGTTTATGTACTGATAACAAATTTTGGGGTTCTTTTTACTAACTTCGGCGATATATTTCTCACATTCAATTTTAGCTGCCCGGACTGCCAGTTTACATCTTTTATTACATTTTTTGTAGTTTTGGAATGCGATAATGTCTCCTCCGTTTTATACTTACTAAATGCAATTTTTTTCCCTTAATGTGTTGCTTTACCGATTTACTTAGCCACATTGGCTTTGTTTTTGATCTTTTACTTTTGTTCCCCAGCAGTATACACCTGGTAATAGCATTTTTTTAATTTGTTCTTGAAACAGTCCCACTTCTGGTCAAAGTTTAGTTTATGAAATACGTTTTCCCATTTAATTTCGCCCACTATATTGCGTAGTTTATCAAAGTTAGCCATCCTGAAGTTTAGGCTTCTCCTCCGCCCATCCCCCTTCCCTTTCTTGCTTCCAATATTGAAAGCAATCACCTTGTGATCACAATTACCCAGTGTCTCCCCGATTACAACATCCTCAATTAACTCCGTATTATTGGTGATGATAAGATCTAGGATTGTTATTGAGGTTATTTTTAGCATATATACATACACCCCCCCCTTCTTGCCAGCCTGTCCCTCCTGAACAGGTTGTACCCTTCTATGTTAGTAGCCCAATCATGTGTGCCGTCTAACCATGTTTCTGCTATTCCTACTATATCATAGTCCTCCTCGAGTAACATAACTTCAAGGTCTTCTATTTTATTTACTAGACTTCTAGCATTGGTGAACATACATTTAATTTTTGTACATTTACTGGTTAAATGTTTGCTCCCCGCCTGCTCCCCACTACTGCTTTTATTTGTCCCTTTTATGGTTGGTCCAATCCTACTTGGGTTACCTTGGGCAATTAGATTTACTTTACTGATTACATTTAGTATGCTCTCTATATTTGCTTTACTACTTTTACTATGTCCCAGTACATTCAATCACATGATTGTTATGCAACAATGCAATTGCTGATCAGTGGCCCTCCAGTTTACGCAGATCATATATGGGATCTGCAAAAAGATCATATATGAGTGCAAAAAGAGTTATTGCCTTAAGGTAATGCAAGTGCAAACATTTTAACACTGGTTTGTTATTTTTCTTAGTTGCTCTATCTATCTATCTATCTATCTATCTATCTATCTATCTATCTATCTATCTATCTATCTATCTATATCTATCTATCTATCTATCTATCTATCTATCTATCTATCGACCTATTTATTCATCTATTGATCCATTTATTACACAAAGATGTGCCTTTCTATTACAACTTCCAATAAAATAGTTTTATCCTAACTGTAATTGGTAATGAAAGTGAGAAGAGATAGGAAACTGGATCATTTCCAGTGCTGGCTTGTACATCAAGTTACCTGTTTCTAAGAACCACAAGCAGTTCTGGACATAAGGAAACTGACTTTGAGCACAGCTGCTGCTGCCTATCTTCACTATAAAATCATAAAGAGTTATTGCCATAAAGTTATGTAAGTGCAAAAATTTCTTCGGCATATTTTGGTACAGGATCAGTATGTTTCAAATGCTTTGAATAGAGGAGCATTATCACTTACATTTGTATAATATATAAGCAGCTGCCACTCTTGCCAACATTTCAGCTAAATGCCATTTCCTGGCTGAATGTTACTCAACAAGATATGATTTAAAGCTACTTCCCTTTTTACTGCTCTTAGATCATTACTTAGATCACTGCTGTGTGTTAAAAATGATTTAATTCTACCCAGTACTGTTTTATAAAAGAACAGGTAGTTAGGTAGGTAGATAGACAACCAGACAGATCAAGCTAACAATGATATCTAGGTCTTTTTAACAGAAGGCTCAAACATAATGTATAATGAAAATAGAGGCAAACACTGTATTTAAATATGCAAAATCACATTTTATGAAGGCAAACACAACAAACTTAGTTTTATTGAAGATTACATTTCTATTCTCTTTGAATTGTGCAACATTTTGGAAAAAAAGTTTGACTTTAGGCTTATTTCAGGTACTACACTAAAGCAACCTCTTGTTAGTAAACAAGGTTGTAAAACTATAGTCATAGTAAACTGTGTGACTACTATGGGGCCCAGAAACTTAGGGGGCCCAGATCTGTATGGCTGTGCAATGATTTATGCAGGTAGCAACAACACTTGGCTAATACATTTGAATAAATATAATGAGGGGAATTTATCAAATCTGGAACAGCTGTGCATGGCAACCAATCAGCTTCTCTCTTTCATTTTCAAATCATAACTGTACAAACTCAAGAGAGAAGCTGATTGGTTGCCATGGGCCACTGCTCCAGATTCTGTCTGCTTCCGTTTTGATAAATTCCCCTCACTGTATATCTAGTTAAAAAACATCTATACAATTGCTATGAAAGCAGTTTGCATTTGGCATCACTAGAGTAATGGCTTTGGAGATTTAGCATAGAGAAACAGTAGAATAACTGAATGGTTATGCTATGGGATCCCATCACACACATGTGTGGCTCACTTAGTAAATGATGGAACCAGCTTTGTTCAAAAATTAACTCTTGTAGGCAGGATTAGATTTACCATTTGCCACAGTATGCCAGAGCCTAAATGGTGCATAGACAAAAAGGCAGTATTCCACTGTATTGTCTTCAGCCAAACATTTTTGCATTATTGGTAAAAAATACAATGCTTCTCACATAAGCTTATTTGAAGGTTGTCACAGTATTGAAAACATTGCTGTGTGTATATTACCTGTCCCCCTAGGCCAGCTGTTCTCTGCTACTTCCCTCCTACCACAGTTGGATAGCAAGGTATCACACTAACAAGATCAAATATCATTGCCATGTAAGGCAAATCAAGGTATGCGGTAGCAAGGCTGAAGAACAGTTTTCTGTAAGTACGGTACATGATTATTCTAGCAATTCTAGCAAGTACAATAAATAAACTGTGCAGAGACAGTGACCATGAGGGCCCAGCTGGATAGAACTGGCAGGGAATGTGTTACTGACAGCAGATTGATGTGTACTACACCTGGCAGCCATGCTGTCCTAGGCCACAGCCTCTTTGGCTATAAAGAAATCTGGTCCTGCCTGTAAAAATTGCTCTGTATAGAAGAGATTATGTTGTGTGACTAGATGTTTCAGTGATCAAAGTCCAGAAATAATTAGATAATTATGAACACCAATAAGCGCTATTTTCATTTGAACATGACCATATAACGTAACCTCAGCGTAATTATATAAAAACAACCCATTCTTTGAAAAGAGCTCCCTCTATATACGGTGTCTCTATGTCTCTTAATAAGAAGTAGAAACATTTAAAACATTAGAAGCCACTTGGCCTCTTTCCTAGCATGTCATAGCTGTCAATGTTAAGTGCAGCTACAGACCTATCCATCTTGGTTGTCTATTTTAGTAGATTATATATACCAATCTAAACAGCTCTGTCATTAGAAAATACAAAATTACAGAGAAGAGAAAAAATGACCGCACTCCACGGATCTTCACCAAAGTACACAAAACTTTATTGTGGATGTCAGCAACACACTGTATAATGTCCCTCCATGCGTGCCAAATCTCTCACGCATTTTACCTTCATGGGTTATACCGACAGTATTCCCCTTCATCTCCCTTTCTCCTTTCACTAATGCTCATAAAAAGTATTAAAAGATATCCAGAGCATAATACCATAAAATAATTAATTTATTTTAAATTATTTTAAAAACTCGGACGTTCGGTATAAGCGACGACTGGATCTTATGTAACCCGCCAGCAGCAGCTTTTTGAAGTCATGTGTTGTTACGAGCAATCTCTTCAGAAACTTTTGTGAGTGTTTTCAATCCTTTTACATAAATTCATTTGTTTATGGTATTATGCTCTGGATATCTTTTAATACTTTTTATGAGCATTGGTGAATGGAGAAAAGGAGATGAAGGGAGAATACTAATGGTATAACATTCCGGTGAATGGATGGATTGCATTCTAACTGAGCGCTATAAGACCATTTTTATTTGAATGGTCCACCTCATCTGGTGAGTGTGGTCTGTGTTACTGAAGCCACACACGGATGGGGAGATTGATCACCTGATTGTACCGTTTGCACAAACGTATTGAGATTTTTGCACCGTTTGTACCGTTTCCACAAACCTACTGAGATTATTTGCACAGTTTGGTTGAGAGATTCTTAACACCGCATGGATCACTGAATACATTAAAAGGACTTTTATAAGATTTATGGACTTTTTGTTAGTATTTGATTTATCTATTTATTTAAATATAGAGCTGGGCAGTTTGTTTATTATCTGTATAGTATAGGATATCAAATATCCACTGACTGAGCCTGTGACCATTATACAGTTTGCATACTAAACTATATGTCTTATGGAACAATTACAATTTTTACTTCCACTGTAATGTAAAATGTTAGTTGATGTATAGCCATATTCTTAAGGTGTAAAACTACCTAAAATTCCATAATTCTTTAGTCTTTAACTCCATATATTTAAAAAGATTGTATGCCCCCATGCTATGATTAGTAATGTATCTTGGCTGATGTTTAAAAAGTAACTATGTGGGGCATCAGCTGGAAAGCAATCTCTTAATGTAACATCTCCAAGGTGTTAGCGAGCTCCTGTGAGCTTCTCCACTGTGGAATTAAATGGTAGTGATTAGATGATTATGTTCTAATTTCAATGTTTTCTGCAAACTTACAAATGCATTTTTACAATTAATTGTTTGTGATAGAAGTAAATGATTGCCGACTGATTAACTCCAATACAGTGACATAATATATAATTTCACATATGCAGTAGCTTGAATTCTCGTGCAGTTTGAACTAATCCTTGAGGACTCTGGCTTTAACTACAAAGTGATAACATGCAAATAATTACCAAAAAAAAGTAATTGTTAATCCAGTCCAAACATGATATACTCACTTTCTGTTGGCATTATTATAAATGTTTCAGGGGTGGCATGATAATCATCATCTTCCAAGGACCCCTCACTGTTTGCATCTCTTTGAACATCATACTGGTCAATCATGTCTTGCATAGGTGGAGCTTTTGGTAACATTTGTCTTATAACTTCCTTGGTGATGTTAGGTGCCTGTTCCAAGCGAAGCTTGCTAAGTATCTGGAACTTTATAACTTCTAGTCTTGTAGACTTGCTGTTCTGCCTCAAGGAGCAAGAAGTGCACAGAGTGTCCTTATTAGCTGCTTGATCGTTGTCATTCAGTTTCACTGATGGAAGAGCTACTAAAATGCACAGGTAAATATAGCAACAAGCACGTACCTTTATCATGTTCTCATTTAGTCAACTGTGATGTTCACCCTTACTTTGTGGTCTATTTTATAGGATATTGAAAAGTCAAGGGACTTCTCCTTACTGTTACTAGAGAAGAACCTGTCACACTAATAAATCATCTGCAGCTCATCTGTACTTTTATACTGTAACTTAAGTTACGCTTGCATCATCAGAACCAATGATTGGCTGCCTCATAAACAATGAGTTCAGCTGGCAGAGCCTTAGGAGCTGTGTTTCTGCGGTGGCAGTTTGTTGAATGCCAAGAACCAGTTTATCTTTTCAATGACACTAATTGAATTTACTTTCCTAATTATACTATATGTTTAAGAAATGCTTAATTGTATAGACATAAAGCTAGGTCATATTAACATTGAAATTCATTAAATAAAAAGTACTTGCATGATACCAGCAATAATCTGGGGTACAGTATTATTTTGCTACATGGGTGCATGCACACAGGATTACCTGCATGTAGGTCTGCTTTGGTGTAATGCTTAATTTTTTTAATTAAAAAAAATGGAGCTCTGTTGAGAAGTGTTCACGGGGTCGTTGTAGTGCCTTTAACCTTTTTATGTCATTTTCTTCAAGATTGGCCCTGTGCAAACAGGACAGAACTTTAACAATGTTTGGGCAAGTGGGTAGCAAGTGCTGTAGTATTATGACTTTGCCCTTTCTAAAGAAAAAGTACTAAAGCAAAACAGCAGCTAATAGCACCCATGTGCACATGTCATTATAACTTGGATAGCATCCCTTAACCTTAAAATAGATTTAATAGGTTGTGTTTCTTTACTGACACGTATAGTTAATATAGCCAGTTTTACTGTTGGGGCTTTCATAGTTCAAACCTCTGCCCTTGGTGTGCAGGCTGTTATTGCACTTGGCTTATACTAAAACAAGTATGCAAATCAGGAGTTTTGACTTCACTCTGATTTTTCTTGCTGCCTACTTGTTATGGGTTGGTATTCCAAAAACTATGGGAGCCAGAGACAGCCATGTAATTGGCATTTTTAAATGGTGGTCAGCAACAGCAGCCTTTGTAATTCTTTTGGTATAAGTGGCCTTTAATGTGTTGCTAATCATATAATAATCATATCATAAACTTTTCTATAAAGCTTTTTATTGCAATTAAATTTTGTAAAGATACCTGTAAACACTTACTAATATGGGAACGCTGGATGATACTAGTTGAATGTATGGAAGGATTGTATAAGAGTTAATATTTTTATTATTAATTGATTTTTTTTACCTTAAATGAGAAATATAGGGTTATGGAGAGTCAAATATACTCTTCCCAATACTTAGAACAGGCATATGACTTTGCAGGTGGGAGAGTCTGGAAAGATGTAATTCACCAGCGTCCTCTGCTTCTATGATTTCAACAGGCTCACGCATTTCTGGGGCACACCCCCTTCATCAGCTCCTAAGGCTATGCCAGCTGAACTCATTGTTTATGAGGCAACCAATCATTGGTTCTGATGATGGTTTACGTGTTTCTGGTTTACGGGTTTCTGGGGCAAGCCCCCTTCATCAGAACCTATAGGCTCCTTCATCAGAACCAAAATTATAGACTTGTCCCTGCAATACATCCCCTTTTTAATACAGGACAAAACCCTGCTAGCTTTGTTTACAGCAGCCTGGCACTGCAAACTACCTTTCAGTTTGTGGTCTACAATGACCCCCAAATCCTTCTCCATTTCTGACTTCCCTAGCGGCATACCCATAATTGTATAACCCATTTGTTTATTTTTAATTCCAAAGTGCATTACTTTGCATTTATCGACATTAAACCTCATCTGCCACATTAATGCCCACTCCCCTATTTTATCCAGGTCCTCCTGTAATGTTATAATGTCTAAGTCCGTGTCTATTACCCTCCCAATTTTGGTGTCATCCGCAAACACGGAAATATCGCTGTTAACACCCTCCCCGATGTCATTAATAAATAAGTTGAACAATATGGGACCCAGCACAGAACCCTGAGGCACACCGCTCATTACACTAGCCCAGTCTGAAAAGGTGCCATTTACAGATACCCGCTGGACACGTTCCCGTAGCCAGTTCTCTATCCACGTACACACCACCTCATCTATGCCCATAGCCCTCAGCTTGTGTAGCAAGCGTTTGTGTGGTACCGTATCAAAAGCCTTTGAGAAATCCAGATATGCCACATCTACCGGCTTACCTCCGTCCATATCTCTACTTACCCCCTCATAAAAAGTTAGCAAGTTAGTTAGGCAGGAACGATCTTTCCTGAACCCATGCTGGTTGTCATTAACTATCCCGTTTTCCTGAACAAATTCTACCAGATAATCCTTTATTATGCCCTCTAGCATTTTACAAACAATCTTTCCAGACTCTCCCTGCTAGAGGTTCCGATTTCCTATCAAATTCTACATGCTTTTATTCCATTGAATTTCTGTAAGTACAGCCTAGAGCTGCATGTTTTATTATTAAATTACATTTTTACACTATGGAGGCGCCCTTTTTCGTTCTTTGTTTCCTAGATTGGCGGTCTATTTGACCTGTGGGAGCTGCCTCTTTCGTGTTTGCCCTATTAAGCTGCTGGTTACCTTGAAATTGAAGGCGCCGGTATTTTTTCTAGCTGAATCCCTGGTTGGTTAACAGTTATGGATGCTTACAGACATAACGAGTTGTCAGGGTTTTTCTCTATGCAATCTTTTGTTGTCTAGTTTCCTGAGTCAGGTTATGGCTTTTGGTAATCTTTCAATTTAAAGGTAATCTGTTAGGTCAAATATATGGCAGCTACCATTGTTGAATTGTTTTTGAATGTGCATGCTGAAGGTCTGTCATTTGTATTCTTACTTGACTATTTAGTGAGTCACTGACCCCGAACAACATGTGAATATCAGTTATCCCAACACCTGATATGTTCTTATTACAGATCACTGACTCAACAAGCAGTGAAGGAAGGAAAGGGATGACACCTCCAGAGCATCAACCCTGAGAAACATATCACAAGTAATGGTTCTCACATTTCTCTTCTGAGTAAAAAGAAAATTTGTTGGTGCCGAGATTTACAACTGAATGGGGATCTCTGTTTGAAAATCTGATCATCAGGATTTGGTAATTCATATAGTAGAAGTAAGGTAGGATGAGCACTCGCCCCCATGGGGGGGGGGGATGCCTGAAGAACATTTATTGGTGATTTATGTTGGTGAAACAAAAATCTCAGATGGACGTATCTTTAAGTGGAAGAGATCACAAGGTATTTAACCAAGGCAGATTTATACTCCCTCATCATCAGATTGCTTCACCAAATATATGCCCTAGCACTTTCCTTTTAACAACATGCAGTTTTGTATGCTAATGTATGCACATGCACAGCATGCTCATGCAGGTATTATGCTTCTCCAAGAGACCTATTATACTACTTCTTCCCACTGTACATACTGTCATAGACATTTTATAAGATTGGTTTAAAACCCTTATTTAGAGCCATCTTAAGAAAAAGTGGAGACAAAATCAAATATGGAATGCAGGGCCTGAATGTGCCGTTAGTGCATACATTTGCAAACAACTATAATGAAAAGTTTGTCAGCACCAGGCTATAATAAGTATCTCTGGTTTTTGTATATAGGTTTCACAAATTTCTGTTCTGATGTTCTGAATACAGAGGGGCCCAAAAAATGTAGACATACTTCAACAGTTAATATCTATACCCTTTTTTAAAAACCTATATTGAATTATGGCAGCAATGTGTAGTATTATGTTTCCTCTAAAGGTATCAGTAGTCGCACCGTTGTTGATATCATCATGTGACCGTCAGGAGAGAGTCAAAGAAAATGGCAGAAGCACGCTTGAGTTTTTGAGCAATGTAAGGCCATTTTGAAGTGGTATTGTAAATTTGAAAATGTGTGTGAAGTTCAATGACAATGTCGACGTGAGTTTGGAACAAAACCACTTACACCACTATCAATCGCATGGATTCATGATTCATGTTTGTGATGTGCACAAGCAAAGATCAGGGAGGCGTCGCACAGCAACAAGTCCTGATTCCTCAGATACGGTGTTGCAACAGTGTACACGCTCACCACAAAAGATAGATGAATTTTCCTGAGGCTGGGAGAATGTAATTACATCCCACATGCAATATATGGCTACTGTGGTGTTGCTAGACTTGGGCACTTGGGGTATATGCTCCAGAACTGCTGGTTGGTGCCCTGGGTCAGCCACATTATCAAATGTGTTCTCATTGGTTCAGTAATACTGCTATTTAAGAGCCACACATATCAGTAATTTCCCCTGCCAAAAGATGCTCTCCCAGGCTTCCACTTCAATTCTCAATATAAATTGACAAGGGAAATCCCTGAGAGGATTTTCTCTCACTTCCTTTCACACCATGCCTAATGCTTAGATTGTGATGTATAACAGTGACAGAAGTGGCCATGTCTCTAGGACCAACATGTTATATCTGAATAAGTTCAGATAACATTATCACTATGTGGGGGTTCTGCAGGGATGCTGAACCATTGAACTAGCAATGGGATGATTTTTGTCTTTTTCAGTATTCACCCCATTTCTATATTTTGTGTATACTTTAAAGTAGTATAGTACAACATAATTTTGTATATATTCAACAGTAATTACACGCCTAGAAGAATTTGAATCATGTTAAAAATTCCTATGTTGAAATCCCTAGGTGTACCTTTATTTTGTCCGTATGATATTAAGAAAGTGACCATCAAAAATAGAAAAATTCTAAATATTTACAATGCAGCCATAGTCTTTCAATTTTTTTTATTACAATTACAAAATTAACCAAACAAGAAAAATGCATTTTGCAGTTGAGACTAGTAACATTGTGCATTTAAAAAGTTGTGTGTAAAAACAAAATAACTGTTTACTGTCTGGTTATAATTAACTAGTTTCATGAACCTTTGGAATTTTAAGGTTTAGGATGAAAATACATTTACATTGCCCCAAAGTTGCCTTACTACTGTTCATGCAAGGTAACAGGTGGTAACAAGAAGTGATAACAGCAAGCTTATAATGTTTCTCAGCTTAATGAAAAGGTGGTAACAGTCTGTCTCATTACAAAGGGAGGATGAAATCATTCCAAAGCTCTCGGTATTAGCAAAACAGCAT